CTTAGTAAAGTAGTGAAGTTGTCATATTCCAAGCAGTAGAGTATAAGTTCAATTCCTATGGAAGGTAAAAATTAGATTTTAGAAAAACAGATTTGGCAACTATCGTCATAATTGCAAAAACTCGAGACTCTGTAACTGTAGTCATATTAAGATAAAAATTTTAAGGTTCTGGGGTATTTGTGTAATAAAGGAGTTATACAAAGGCATGCAAGCTAGTTTAGTCAGTACAAAACTCAAGATAAGTCTTTCAGAATCGCAGAAAGCCACAGGGCCAATATAGTAGTAAGGTACTTGCTTAGAAAGTCCTGAATAGAGAGGTAGCACAGATCTCTGACAGTACTACATGCAGATTAATACTTAGAGAACTGGATAAACTGAATAGGACTGAAGTGTTTGGTAAAGCACTTCACCAACCAGGCTACTAGAGGAGTAACCAAAGGAAAAAGACCTGATCCTGGAGACCAGAGGCAGGTTATAACCCTTCCGAGCTATCTGAATTGATAGTTTGGGATAGCTGAGATATCAGTAATAGTCTGTAGATGTATCAGAGTTTGGATGAACTCTATAAAGATGGTAGTAAGTAACTGTAGCAGCCTCAGCTCGCAAGTACTTGTTTTTAAACTCAGCATAAATTACTGAAAAAGACTAAGCAATATAGTAATAGTAGATACAGACTGCTCTAGTAGGTGATGTACTCAAAGATGAATTGGTTAACTATACCAGTAGTCCTATAGATAGACATAATGATCTTAAAATTTAAACTAACTAATGTATTGCATGTTCTGGGTAAGAATAGATAAATTGATATAGGACACTCAGATTAGAAAGTTTAATTAGATAACTCAAGTAATAGTAAGTTATAGATATAGCATCTAGTGTAGCACTTAGCACATGGGTAGATACTTAATTAGGCAGCCAAAAGGTGCAGCTATGGCTAGAATGTATTCTCATCAGAATATACTTGTCTGGGGCTCTTTGAAAAGAGCACTACATAATTCTATAATCTAATAAAAGCAATAAACCAAAGAGGCTAACCTTGACTATAAAAAAAAAAATTATTATATAAGTTTTTATTTTTATTAAATTAAATTTTACTAAATTTCAACCATTGTTATTCTAAAATATAATATAAAATAGTTTGAAAGAATATATATTATTAGTTAGATTAAATAAAGATAATAATTTATAAAGAAAATGGAGTTTATAATAAAATAAATATGAATGAAATTGAATATTAGATTATTGATAACATTTCTAAACCTATAGTTAGAACTTAATAATTTTTATAATATTTAATTCATTTTAATAAGATAAATCAAACAATATAAAATTATTAAATTTTAATCACTAGATTATATGATATCTTCGTTTTAGTAAAATAAAAATTTTAAAAAATATTATCAATTAAAATAAATATAATTGGTCAATTGTTATATCTTAAAAGATATCCAATTATTTAAGTTTATATAACTGATAATTTTAGATTTTTTTAATAGGCAGATTAACACTAAGTCACAAATTTTATATTTAAAAAGTTTGTGCAATAAAGATTATTCATCATGTTTTTTTGTTACTTTTGAAACATACTCTTTTATATTGATATCAAAAAACTAGTTATTGTAAATCAGAGCAGAAGTTCAATTCTGCTTGATATAAGGATATTCATACAGGTAGAGATGATAAAGTTCTTAGGTTCAGAACTTTAGAACTTGGTTTTAGAATTTGATTTTTAAAAACTAGGTACTAATTTTAAAATATAAATCTTAGATTTATAATAGGTTTTTAGGTTCATGATAAGTTCTTAGATTTTTAGATTTTTAGGTTTTTAGATTCTCAAATTTTTAGGTTCATAATAGGTTTTAAGTTTTTAGGTTTATAATAGATAGACTATTAACATAACTATTAATGTAATAACTAACATAATAAATATAGTAATGTAATAAATATAAAAAATAAAAGATGCTAAGCAAAGTTAATTAAAAAGCTAATTAAATAGCTTATTGTATCAAACAAAACACAACTCTTTTTAATAATCATCTGATCAACAAAAATCAAGAAACTGAACTATAGTCAGCATTATAGAGGATAGTAAAGTAAATAATAAACTTGGTCTTATAGAAGTAGATGTGTTGTCGATGAAGTACCAAGAGTGTAAAACTGAGGTGCAGTCTACTTTGAACTGGTTTTGGTAGAGTCAAGCTTCTTGCTAGTGGACTTCTTTACTTTTATTCAGCATTCAAACTAGAAGGATTTTTTTTTTTTTTTTACCTCTTTCCGCATCTCAAAGGTCCTTAGATACCTTCAGATTTTTCACATTTCTCAAAAGCCAGAGTTTTCGTATTTGTGGAGATTACCGGTATGGCGAATTAGCCACCTATATATCACCGTACTGGTGAGATAACTCATGCTTCGTTAAGTATGTCATATAACGTCCCGGGTTCCTAGTGCTGCAATGTAGAATCTATATTCTCTAGATCTGCAGTTTTCTAACTTCACATGACCCACAAGTCAGATCATCCTTTTATATCTAATATCTGTGATTCTAGTGCTGAGTTTTTCTCAATTTTAACGTCGTTTGTTGATGGATTATGCCTTATCTGGTTGTCCCCGGCCCCGTAGCTATGCTGGCGGACTGCAATTTGTACAAATCTTGTTTTTCATTTTTTTAATGAAAAATTCTCCAAAGATCTTAACCAATCGTGGTCCTGGCAAAGCCATTCATCACCCAGTAAACTCGAACTCATGACCTTGTGATTGTGACCCAGGAGCGCTAACCACTGCGCTATCGATCTACAGGTCAGAAGGATATTTTAGAAACAAAGTATGCTTAAGGTGACACCAGAAGTATTACAAGCTTTATATCACTATATAACTGTAAAACTTATAAGGAACAACTACAGAAAAGCTTCATTGGCCCACCACTTTTTTTCAAGAAATTTTGTCAAAAAGTGAATGTTTTAACTTATCTCTTTCTAAAGATCAACTCATAATTTTTCAAAACAGTCAGTATTGTTTATCTGTTTATATGAGTCCATAAATAGGATTACCAAAATGAGATAACAGATGGACGTCCAAAATAAGCAACTATACAAATTGTATAACAACACAAATAGGTTACATGCCTCAAACCAAAAAAACCATTGAATAATACTTTGAAACTACTGGTTTGAATTTTGGACTAACTCTATTTAGGTTGACTACAGTGTTTAATTTTAGTCAACTTTTTTTTAACTTTTTTTTACTCTTTAAGTATAATTTATTAGGATAGAAAATGTTATAGAGTATTTTTATCTAGTAATATATAATTTTTTAAGGCCCAACACAGGCTGATAATTGTAACTATCAGATTTTTTATTTCTTTTTACACCACCTTTCATCTTTATATTTGTTTTTTAGTATTAGTTTTTGTTACTTTTCTTTCCCTTTTTTAGGATTATTAGTGAATTTTTTTTGTTTTTATCACTTCTCTATGAAAAGATGTCATTAGATTGGCAGTATCCTATTGTAGAACAGTGGTCTGACAATGCTTCTGGAGTTGGATTAAATTATTTGGCTTAAATCATAAATCTAAAACATCAAGGTCCTTTAATGAAAGTTTGGCCCAGTGTGGTTGGTCACTTGTAAGTGCTCTTGAAGTAACTGCAAAATGTCAGGCCTAAATATTAAGCTCAACATTGTGTCATATCTGTAATGCAATAATCTTAATAAAGAATCACTGGCAAGACAGCCTAAGTGGAAAAAAAAAAAAACTTATTGTATCAATGCAAAATGTAAAAGAATTTATATGTTTAACAAAATGCTACAAGAAATGATGCTAGAAGGAGACTGGTTTCTATGATGACTGAAAAACAAGTTATCAAAATAATGTTTCATTAAAAAGGCAAGATCAGTGCAAGCATCAAAGAAGAAATACAAATCAAAGTAATGAACGTAATATTTGTTAAGAATGATGCTAAAAATTTTATTTCAGCATGAAATTTTATAATTTTTGTTTTAGAATTGGGCTAGGGTTTCGGGTTAGTGTTTATAATAAAAGAATATAGGTGGAACCAGGTTCCAGAACTTTTTAAAAACCAAGTTCTTAGGTTTTCAAAATGGAACATAAAGGTTCTGGAACCAAAACCGAACCTAAACCAACCTAACCATCTCTACATACGGGGTACTAAGATCTCGTAATTTGATTGGTAGATGTGTAGATATTAGCGCGATACTTCTTACGCAATTGAATTGCGTAATTATAAGTTATTGAATTGCGTAATCACTTTTATAAAAGTGAAAATACAGTAGTGGCACGATTACCGTTATTCTATAATGGATAGAGATAGATTTCAAAGATTTCTTGGTGCAGCAGCGGCGGGCCAAGCTCCTGTAATGGACACTCCAACTGTTGATAATGCGGAAATGGTTTATATTTCTTCGTTGGCATTACTGAAGGCAAGTTAAAGTTATAGAACAAGTCCATATCGGCATATACTTTGAACAAATCCAGTTTATAGATTAACATAAATATAATTTGTATTGATCACGCACCTTATTCCGATATTTAATATAGATGTTAAAGCATGGTAAGAAATTAATTACACGTATTACTTTCCGTGGTTCTTATTAAGCCATGTATTTAATCAAAAACATAGGCCGTGCTGGAGTGCCAATGGAAGTTATGGGCCTGATGCTTGGAGAGTTCGTGGATGATTATACTGTACGAGTAATAGATGTGTTTGCCATGCCTCAAAGTGGTACTGGAGTTTCTGTGGAAGCAGTAGATCCAGTTTTTCAAACAAAGATGTTGGATATGTTAAAGCAAACGGGACGGTACAAATATTACGATACTATTTTTATTAAATATCTTTAGACATGATGAATAAACTATGTGTTGATTTATATTTTAGGCCGGAAATGGTTGTTGGTTGGTATCATTCCCATCCTGGCTTTGGATGCTGGCTATCTAGTGTTGACATTAATACCCAACAGGTATTTGTGAAATAATGTCTGATTGGTAATGAATTAATCATCCTAACTATTATATTTAATATTTAGAGTTTTGAACAATTGAATCAACGAGCTGTGGCGGTTGTGGTTGATCCTATCCAATCTGTTAAAGGAAAAGTTGTTATTGATGCTTTTCGTCTCATTAATCCTCAAATGCTTATGCTTGGTCAAGAACCGCGTCAAACTACATCAAATATTGGACATCTTAACAAACCGAGCATTCAAGTAGGCTATCAATATATTTGTTGCCCAAACTGTGAGATGCTGAATTACAACCAATAGGTTATAAATTAAAATTCGTGACGATTTAGCATAACACGTTTTGGACAATAAGTATGTTACCAACTATTTTTAATATGGTTAATCGAGTCACCATGTATAATTGTTAATATAATAAAATTTTTAGGCGTTAATTCATGGTCTGAACCGTCATTATTATTCTATTGCTATCAATTATCGAAAAAATGAATTAGAACAAAAGATGTTGCTTAATCTGCATAAGAAAAATTGGACTCATGGATTGACACTAACAAATTTCACAGAACATACAGAAATGAATGAAAAGAGTGTCAAGGTAACTTATACTATTTCATTGAAATTTTTTGACCAATTTCTTTGTTTACGAATTTTTTTGTAATTATAGTCGATGCTTACACTGGCCGAAGCATATAACAAGTCAGTACAGGAAGAATCAACAATGACAGCTGATCAACTAAAAACTCGTCATGTGGGCAAACAAGATCCTAAACGACATTTAGAAGAAAGTGTAGAGGAAGTTATGTCTAACAATATTGTAATGGCACTTGGAACAATGATAGATTCAGTCAGTTTTTAATAAGATTAATCTCTTTATACCGAACTTCGCTTAAAAATAACCTATATTTATTTACACTGGACATTTATATAATAAATTTGCTATGTCATATTCGAAGTATTTTAATGATTGTACCTGGTTAATCCTGGTGGTTAAATATCCGAGTTGTGATCATGACCACCCGAATGGATGTTAGTGGTCAACTATTGGTCGCCCGTGACCAACCCTGATTTGTCACATATATATTATTGGTAATCAAATGACAATAATTCTTAATAACATTCGCGCATGCAAG